TTATGACGTTTTGCGGTTTTTTTTAAAAAATCCTCCGTTTGCCCGGGTGTACATTCTGATTCATTATCGGAGGGATATTAGCAAATGGTAATTCCTGTGAGGCGAGCTCCCAGAGCACTATAGCAAAACTAAATTTAAAAAAAAAGTAATTAATATAATCTCTAATTAAGTAATGAAGTTTAACTTAAAGAGAAATTTTTGTACCTGTATATATCGCATTGCTTTGTATATTCATTTTCGGTATAGTTGATAAGCTTTTCTGGAGCTAACCATCTTAAAGGTGAATGTGGATAAATCTTTAAATAAAAATTCTAAAATTTATATGGAATTTTATTACTATTCAAAATAATAGTAAATTACCTGTATCTTAATTGAATATCCTTAATTTGTCTTGAAGCATCGGTTTCTTTACGAGCTGAACTAAAATTAGAAATTTTCGCTGTCAAATTTTCTGTCAACAAAATATTGTGACTGAATCGATAAAGTAATAAAAGGTAATTAGAGGATGTTGCGGGTTTAGAAGATAAATGTCAAATGCTATGAAAAGATGATACCTTCTTATATCGTGATGCAAAATATTGTATACGTGGCAGAAAGCCAAGCCACCAGCAATTTCCGAGGCAATTCTAATTTTGAATTCCCAACTTAAATTCTTATGAACTTTCAAATAATTATTAAGGTCACCTTCTTCAGCCCATTCTGAAATAATGTAAAATTTACCGGAACGTAGCATAGTGCCATAACTAAATTATACCAACATTATTAGTAAATACTTGGAGTACAACCTTGATTTTTGAATAAAATGCTTACAATGTTATAATATTTTGACAGTTTTTTAATTCCTTTAAAATGCCAACTTGTCTATCAACAATGTGTAGATTTGATGGAAAGATATTTATTTCTTTTTGACAAACTGTCTGAGCGATATACATCTTTTTCACTATTTGGCCTGAACCTCTTTTCACTTCTTCAGAATCGTCGCAACAAGTGATTTGGCTACAATCAATTCTAAAGTGTTCAGAGGATTGTAAATGCTGTAATTCTCCTTTATTAACATCGACAACAGCTTCGTGAATCTTTTCCAACTTATTTTCAAAAGCCATCAACTTCTGTTGAGTGTTCATCCCTTGTTCCCATACATCCTTCATAACTTCTTCCATAACGTTCAAGGATGTTTTTATTTCAGACTGGAAGAGCTTTCTGTCATCACCGATTTCTTTTCGCGTTCGCACAATTTGTATAAGATTTAATTGTAAAATCGCAGTATCAAGATCTTCAGTAATATCTTGATATTGATTATGGATCTGATATCCGAAAAAAAAAAAATCAATAATCGGAAATTTGATTTATAGTATTCTAACTATAAATATAGATTACCTCATGAGATGTAATTAATTTTATAAAAGAACCAGACTCACTGATATCTTTAATAAATTCTTTAGTTCTCTTTACTGCTCTAACATAACTTTGAAAAGCTAGGTCATTCTCTTCCTTTTTTATCTCTGATATTATTTGGTTTGCAACGCGTATACGTTCTGCCAGTCTTCTACATACTTTTTTATTGTGTCCAGCCTTTTCCACTAAGTCAATTATTTCCCGAAATAGGGATGTTATAATACTAACAATAGGAACTAGATTTCCACCATCCACTAATATTCGAGCTGCTGGATGAAATAATGAAGCTGCTGCCTTCTTGGTATTATCAATTTTAGACATCAGTAATTTATTTATTGGTGCGCAAGAAACGCAAAATATTTATTAAAAAGTTCACGGAATGAAGTTCCGAATAGCATACGTTGCGGAGTTTGTTTTCAAAACTCCGTCGCATACAGAGTTACACTGGATAAAATGGAGACAACATTTTTTACATAGCGAACTTTTGTGATTTGTGCCTGTTTTAGAAATAATGAACGCGATTGTTCGAATTTCAAATTTATCCACTAATGTTAAAAATTAAAATATTTATTAAATTACTATATAGAAAAAAAAATAAAAATAAAACAAGAAACATCATCAATTCTTCCCTTCCCTCAATGAATGAATGGTTATCATTTTATATAAAATAAATAAATCATCAAGAATTTTAAGTCCAATGACATTAACAATGACATATCATATTGACATCATATTAACATCATAATTAAATCCTTGTCTGATTGTCCTTGTTTTTTGATGGTTCTACAAGAATAATATATTAAATATAATAAATAATAAAAACACCATAAAGTCTATATGTTCCCCTCTCACGGGACTTAACAGCAGTTCAGTCTTGGACAATGCTTGGACATTATGTAATAGGCCCCCCATACTGCTGCCAGTGGTAATAAAATGCGCACACCTCAAAAACAGGTTCCATTCCATGTTCCTTCAGACGAAAAGTTTTCTTGGTCTCTACAATACTAGTAATAATCAAAGAAACTAGTATGTCCCTGGTTCAGTTTCCTTGAAAAATTGTCCAGAAGGATAAAAAAGAAGAGAGATTGAATTATTGATGCGCTTTCAAGTGAAAATTATAAATTCATTATTGTAATGATCTGCATGTCAACCCTGCGTACAAAATAATGGAAAAATTAAGATGATGTGATAGTTACACAAATATAAACAATTCTCGAAGGGCAATACAAGTGAGTTTTGGCTAATTCTTACTTATAAAATTAAATATTTGTTCAAATTAATTATTAATTCTATTTATTTGTAATCAATATTAAAAATAAACACTCCTTTGGATTTAATTGATTTAATTATTATTATTTTTTATTTTTATTTTTATGGGTTCTCTTTCTCCAGAAAAAAAGCTAAAACAAAG